GATGCATCGGCTAGGAGGTTATGTTCTCGTATCTCTGGAACCCCTCCTCTGGGTGCAGCCCTCCCCGTCGCCCCCTTGCCCTCCAAACACTGAAACACAGGCAGGTGGTGGTGCGTGGAGGGACCTGGGACTACGGACCCCTGCCAGAGTGAGAACCCACCCCCTTCTCCGGGCACGGCTGCCCCGGGCCCTAGCTTTGTTCCGACCAAGGTTCCAGGGACCCGCAACCCTGGCCGGGCCGGAGCGCTCCCCGCGGCCTGGCCCGCTGGCCCTCACCAGTGCCAGTTGTTGACGTTGGTGGCGTCCGCCCGCTCCTCCACGATCCAGCGTGGGTCGCCCTCACCCCACTTGGCCATCGGCTCTCCTGTCGCACCGCCACCAGCTCCCGAGCAGCCACAGCCACAGCCTCAGGACCGCCTGGTCCCAGCCGCCCGGCAGCGCCTGGAAACTACTAGAAGCGGCTGCAGAATCTCCTGGCTTGCTTTTCCCTCCACCCCCCGCCCCTCCCCGCCTTAACTTCCGGCTCCTCCTCACTCTCACCAGGTACTTCCGTTCCACCTCATCGGACCTTAGCTTATGCCTCTTCTAGAGTTCCTTCAGGCTCCCTCGGGTTATCCCTAAAGGGGCCCGAAATGCAACCGCTCATACAAGCATTCATCACCCGTAAGGCCACAAACAATACGTCTCATTGTTTCCCTAGCCTCTGAATTGGCCCTGCTGAGCCTCATGGGAATTGTAGTCTTGTTGAGTAACCCGCTGGATAACCTCGGAAGGTCGCGCTAAAAGTAAAGGAAACGACGTAGGCGCGGTGAGCTGGGAGTTCTGGGAGCTGTAGTCAAAGAGTTCTGTGTCCCGTCCAGAACACGCTTGACGGCGGAGGGGAAAAGACTACAATATCCAGCATGCCCTGCGGCTCTCCTCTTGACTCACATTCCCTCCCACCGCCCCACTCCTCGAATAAGCTTCCGCCCATTTTCTACGCCGCCTAGCCTGACTAGAAAGGGTGGTCCAGCGGCGGAAGAGTCTGACGCTGTCCTGAAAGGGTGGGCTCGGTGTGGAAGAGGTGAGGGTGTCCCAGCCGTGTGGGCCGCGTGTGTGGCTGATTCCAAACATCCTTTTCCCCTATTCTCTGAGGCGTCCCTAGACCGCCCCCAGGCCCGACTCTGGCAGTCGGAGCGACCGAGTACGCCGGGAGCCCGAGTACGCTCGGGATTGGGGCTGTTAGTGAACCTCGACATTTGATTTTTAAGGAGCATTTACTCTGCCAGCGATCCGCCGGGCTCTGGCGACTGCAGTAGATCCATGGCTTCCTGGACGTTCGCCCGTAGAGTCGTCTTCGGTTAACCCACATTCCCTGGTCTTAGTTCTTAGCTTCACCTGTAATAAGCCTGGCTCCGAAGATCATAATTGAATCTGAATCTAACTTCTCGGTAGCTGGTTTGTGAAGCGTCCTGAAGCAGGGGGCGTGTTGGTTGTGTATTTTTTTCCTGATGCCTGTTTTCCTTTCCTTTGTTAATGTTCCTTGGATTTGCTGCCCTGTCTTGTGGGCTTTAAGTGAACAGGTGATGATAGGAACAAGCCTCTGCTGTATATGAAATCATGTTGAAGCACCTTTTTCCGTCACTTTTAAAATCATACCTGGTTGGTGTAACTTCTAGAGACGTTAAATTAACTTTATCTCTTTCCTTGGCAAGTAAATCTAGGCTCTGATTTGGCTTTAGAAGTACAAATTGGTGTCAAGTATCCACTGCGGTTGCATGGTTAAAAAAGATTCCAGAAATCCACTGGTGGATTACTGGGCTTGTTGGACATATGCTATGCTTGAAATTTATTCACTGCAGGGAAGTAAGGACCTGCCCTGGTTTACCCTAGAGTGAAACAGAGAAGGACCTTGCATGTCAGAGTGGAAAGGATCCAGGAGCCTGAAAACCTGGATTATAGGAGCAATTAGCAAAGTGGTTTTGGTACCTAATCCTTTTGTGCCTCATCTTCCTCATCAGTGAAATAGAGATGAAATCTACTAGGCCTACCTTATAGAGCTGTTGTGAGGATGACAGAGCGCTCTGTAAGTTGGTATCTGTGCCAGGGACATTTACATGCTCTACAAAGTCTTCCGTGTTTGTGAGAGCCATTCTCAGCATTTTTGTGTCAAGTTAGTTGTTTTAAATCTTTAGGATTGCTTAAAAAATATTTTCTTTCTAGCTTTTTTTTTTTTTTTTAAAGATTTTATTTATTTGACAGAGAGAGACACAGCGAGAGAGGGAACACAAGCAGGGGGAGTGGGAGAGGGAGAAGCAGGCTTCCTGCTGAGCAGGGAGCACGATGCGGGCTCGATCCCAGGACTCTGGGATCATGACCTGAGCTGAAGGCAGACGCTCAGCGACTGAGCCACCCAGGTGCCCCAGTGCTCTGCAAGTATTAACTAGTTTAAAGCTCACAACAATTTTGTAAGTTAGGTGTCTATTGTTATGCCCATTTTAGAGATAAGGAAACCAAGATGGAAAGGTATCAGTAAAATATCCCGTACTAAAAGAATTGACCTTTGTATGTACTTCCTGCTAGGTGTTTCCTGAGTCCTATTTCTTCACTGCAATCCTGTGAGGTAGGGTATCATTTTCACCAAGGCCTAGACGTAAAATTTATTTAACCAGTTTGCTCAGAATTGGGAAACCAAGATTTGAATTCAAAGCTGCCTACTATAAAGCTTGTGCTTGTACCACCATGAGGGATGATTTCATTGTATCTGCCAGCTTTATTTGGCTTTAAATACACAGAAGGATTTTTAAGTTACATCTGGGTTCAGTAGAAATCAATTAGTGATGTCCGCCATGGGAAGGGATCAGATAGTAGAAAATTCCCACCATACCTTTGCAATTCCTGTATCCCCTGAAAACACAAGAATCAGGAAGTGAGAGTACAGATGATTCCCTGGCTTACAGTGGTGCAACTTAAAATTTTTCAACTTTATGATGGTGTAAAAGTGATACACATTCATATATATATATATATATATATATATATTCTTTTTTTTTTTTTTTTGAAGTGGGCTACATACCCAGTGTGGAGCCCAGCACGGGGCCTGAACTCATGACCCTGAGATCGAGACCTGAATTGAGATCAAGAGTTGGACCCTTAACCGATTAAGCCACCCAGGTATCCCAAAAGTGATATACATTCAGTAGAAACCGTAGTTTGAATTTTGAATTTGGATCTTTTCCTGGGCTGGCGATATACAGCACGATAGTCTTTTGATGCTTGGCAGTGGCAGTGAGCCCCAGCTCCTGGTCAGCCACATGATCACAAGGGTGAACAACCGATATATTTAAACTATTCTGCACCCACACAATCATTGTTTTTCACTTTCAGTACAGCAGTCAATAAATTACATGAGATATTCAACACTTTTTATAAAATAGGCATTGTGTTAGATGATTTTGCCCAACTGAGGCTAGTATAAGTGTTCTGAGCACATTTAAGGTAGGCTAGGATAAGCTGTGCTGTTTAGCATTTTCAACTTACAATATTTTCGACTTACATTGGGTATATCCAGATGTTAACCCCATTGTAAGTCGAGGAATGTCTGTAGAGTATGTTAAGGGCCATCAGAAGCTTCAACAGGGGCACCTGGTGGCTCAGTTGATTAAGCGACTGACTCATAATTTTGGTTCTGGTCATGATTTCAGGATCATGAGATCAAGTCCCACATTAGACTCCATGCTCAGTGCAGAGTCTGCTTGAGATTTCCTCTGCCCTTCCCCCCTACGCATGCTCTTTCGCGCACGCGCACTCTCTCTCTTTTAAAATAAGCCATCCCACCCTGAGCGCGCCGATCTCGTCTAAAATCTTTTTTTTAAAAAAGAATTCTTACAATTCAATCCTAAGGGGAAAAAACACAATTAAAAAAGAAGCTTCAACAGGGCTGCCATGATAAGTCTATCTGAAGCTTCTGTTGTGAAGGTACTATTGAAATAAAACGAAAAGCAAATTGATTCTTCAGAATTTGATGTGTAGCCTTTGGAGTTATTTTTGTTGCTTTGGGAGTTTTGGTAACTAGTTCTTCGTTTAAATCAGTTTTCACTCTATCCAGTTGGCATTGATAATTAAGTTTGTAATTCTAGGGCAAAACATTTTTTTCAGAGTGAAATCTAATTTTTTTTTATAGTAAAGTTTATTGAGTGATAGTACAAAGCTCCCAAAGAGGGAGGGGACCTGAGAGGGTTGTCCTGAAATCTAATTTTAGAATTATGAGAGGGACTTGTAGTGTTTTGACTGATTCTTATTATACTTTTCTTAGCCACACCCTCAGTTCCTAAATTTTGGCCAATACTTTTTGGTCAATTACTCATAATTTGAAGATACAGGCAGGATAATTCTGTTTCATTTAATCTTTGCTTTCTTTCTTCTGGCATTTAGCAAGCATATATGAGAGCAAGATATTTGCCAGTTTTATTCACTGTAGTATTCACAGAGCCTAGAACAGTGCCTCAAAGATGGCACTCAATAATAGATATATGTTGAACAATACATGAATGCAGTTCTTATCTGTTTTGTTGATACTTTGATCTTGTGTATTCAGCAAAATTTGTGATGCATTTTTATAACTCTTGCCTGTCTTGTACTGTTACCTTTATATGTATCAATGCTGAATACCCAGTTCTGTTGTAGGGTTCTTCAGAAGAGGGACTGTGTCTTGCACTTTGTAAATATCCCCTCAACACCTGAGAGAGTGCCTTGAACAAAGTAGTTGTTCTAGGAATGAATGACTACTTGTGGGTAATTAACGGATAATGGATCAGAAGTATGGTTTGATCAGTTGGAGACCTAATGATCTGATTTGACGTGACAGATTCAGTATTTCCTTTCTCAAATTCTTTTAAACATCTCCAATAACTGCAGGGTGGGGTGGGAGGGAGAGTTTGCAGTGAAGGAATCTAAAGCTTTTGGCGCTCTTTTGGAAGCAATCCAGGGAGGGACATATATCTGTCTTACTCTTATTCCAGATGAATCGGACAAAGGGTGATGAGGAGGAATATTGGAACAGCTCCAAGTTCAAGGCTTTCACCTTTGATGATGAAGATGATGAGCTCTCACAGGTAGGTCTTCATGAACAATTGCTGCAGGTCACACCTCCTCCACATTGCCATTCTAAAATTTCTTCCTCTCACATCCTTGGTAACCTGGCTTTTGACTGTGTCTCCATTAGGCTCAGAAATGTTTTGGGTTAGATCTTTAGAAAAATCTTCATAGAGAAGAGCCCTCAAAAAAGAGCCAGAAGGATTGTAAAAACCAATTCTCTGCCCTTCTTACTTTTATTCTTAAGGTGATTTCAGTTTCTTTTTTTTCCCTCAGAATCCCAAGTCTTTTATCATGTGATGTAATTTGTTATTTTTGAATGATGAACTGGATTGGATGTTGTCTTTTTGCATCTGTTTTACAAATGGGGAAATGGATTTATTTTTGGAGAGATGGATAAACTCACCCAGGTTTACACAGCAAGTCATTGCCAGGTATATGATTAGAACTTAAAAGCAGCTTTAATTCCTTCTAACTCTTGCCACTGGACTTCAGTGTTGGCTAAAAAGCAATTTGTTCTCTTGGCAAATATCTAGCAGGCTAGGCTTTCTATTGCAGAGAGTGAAAGTTTTGGCCATGTTAAGTCCCAATTGCTCAGCCTTCTTGGTTGTCAAAGAGAGAGGTGGAAGTAGTGATTACCTGAGTGCCCTGCCTTATGTCCCTCTGCAGTTAAAGGAATCCAAGAGAGCAGTGAATAGTCTTCGCGACTTCGTGGATGATGAGGATGACGATGACCTGGAAAGAGTCAGCTGGAGTGGGGAACCTGTGGGAAGTAAGTAGAGGAGGCTGTAGGAAGGGATTGATATTCAGGGTTCTTGTCACTAATGAAGGCTCCGCTTGCTTGTCTCCTCAGTGCTTGTTAGGAAGGGGAATGAAGGTAGACTATTTTTAGATGAGCATACATTTGGAAATTTAACCCCGGAAGAAACTTGAGGAAATAACAGTGGTGGTTCCCATATGGCTCTCTAGGTCTGCCATCCTGGGGCTAATGCTTGGCTGGCTATTTCAGACTCCTTTGGGGTGCTTGTTAAAGTTAGGTTCCTAGGCTTTACTCCAGAAACTGATTAAGTAGGTGTCAGGGGTGGGGGTGGGGAGTCTTAATTTATAATGGGTACTGCAGGTGCTTCTAATATTCAGTCATATTTGGAACTGCTGGCTTAATTGCTCATAACTGGCTGGCAGGACTGACTTCCTTAGCCACCAGGCCCACTGTCTAGCTGTTTTATAATACCACTTAACACCTTTGCCCAGTCCATCTGATTTTTAAGAATATTTAAAAATTTTTTCTTAATATAGGAAATACCATCAGGATTTGAAAATCAAGTATTTTAGGCATACAATGTAAAGTTTCCCTCCCACACTATCATGCATCTACTATTCTCAGTTCCTTCTGTCCCAAGACACTGCTGTTGTTTGCTTCTTGTGTGTTCAACTAAAGATTCTTTCTACATTTGGAAATGCATATAGGAATATATATTCTTATTCCCTTTTTTATACCAATGGTAGCATACTTTATATACCCTATTCTTTTCACTTGGCAATATAGCTTGGAGATCTTTCTATATCAGTACATAAAGAAGTTTCTCACTCTCTCTGAAAACAGCAGCATAGGATTACACTGTATGGATTTTCCATAACTTATTTAACCCGTCCACTTTTTTTTTTTTTTTTAAGATTTTATTTATTCCTTTGACAGAGAGAGCACAAGCAGGGGGAACAGCAGAGGCAGAGGGAGAAGCAGGCTCCCCGCCTGAGCAGGGAGCCCAATGTGGGGCTTGATCCCAGGACTCCGGGATCATGACCTGAGCCAAAGGCAGACACTTAACCAACTGAGCCACCCAGGTGCCCCTAACCAGTCCACTTTTGATGAACTTCAGATAATTTCCAATCTTTCCTTGTTTATATTGCTATCAATAACCTTATTTCCTGCCCAATATGAATACATGAAAGATCAATTTTTAGAGTGGAATCACTGGCAGAGGGTATTTGCATCTCTATGGGGTACACGTTGCCAGATTGTTCTCCACAGGGGTTGCACCAGTGTACTCCCACCAGCAATGTTCGAGTGTTCCTCTTTCCCCACAGCCTTGCCAACAGAGTATTATCAGACTTTGGATCTTTGCCAGTCTTAGAGGGGCCAGAGGTATCTCAGTATACTTTGTGTAATTCTCTTATTAAGTGTGAGGTTGAGCATCTTTTCATATTTTTTTTTTTTAAAGATTTTATTTATTTATTTGACAGAGACACAGCAAGAGAGGGAACACAAGCAGGGGGAGTGGGAGAGGGAGAAGCAGGCTCCCGCTGAGGGGGCAGCCCAATGCGGGGCTTGATCCCAGGACCCTGGGATCATGACCTAAGCTGAAGGCAGACGCTTAAGGAGTGAACCACCCAGGCGCCCCTTTTTCATATGTTTAGTAGCCACTTGAATTTCCTTTTCTGTGATCCATTTATTAATTTCCTTTGCTCCTCTTTCTGTTGATTAGTCTATCTGATTTTATCCTTTCTCCCTGCCCCAATTTTTTAAGTCCATGTTAATAAGGGACCAGGGCCTCTGGTGAAAAACTTTCAGTGTTTATCAGAATGCTGGATTTCAAGGTTTATCTTGGATGAGAATCACTGATTTAGTTCTTACTATCTCACAGGTATCTCATGGTCCATCAAAGAGACTGCTGGTAATAGTGGGTCGAGCCAGGAGGGGCGTGAACAGCTAAAGAGCCGGAACAGCTTCTCCACCTACGCACAACTACCCAAACCTGCTTCTACCTACTCCCTGAGCAGCTTTTTTAGAGGTAAAGAGTGATGGTTAAAGGGACAGAGGGCCCTCCTTTTCTCTTTTCAAAAAACCACTCAGGCTATAATTATCATTTACTCTGGAAGAAAAAAACTATTGAAGGATAAAGAATTATCTTTGGAGCTGGCAGTTAGGGATTAGAAGTGGGAGAAATGAGAGAAATTCAGAGGGATGAGACTGGGTTTCAGGAACACGATGAACAAAACTGACATTAGCTCTGTGGCAAGTACTGAAGAAATTTGCTGTGGTCAGCATTCCTGCCTACCCCTATGCATTGCTGTTGGGAGCCCTAGTGCACTGCCAGTGGGGATGTAAAATGGTGCAGCCGCTGTGGAGCACAGTATGGCAGTTCCTTAAAAAAAAGTCAGCCGGACATACAAGGAAAGATACTGTATGATCCCATTTCTGTAAGATACCTAGTATAGTCAGGTTCAGAAAGACAGTAAAATAGTGGTTACCAGGGCCTGGAGGTATAAGGAAGCATGGGGAGTTACTGTTTAATGGGTAGAGAGTCTCAGTTTGGGATGATGAGAAAGTTCTGGATATGGGTAGTGGTGATAGTTATACAGTGTGAATATACTCAGTGCCACTGAACTGTACATTTAAGAATGGTAAAAAATGCTCAGGTTTACATCACGTATATTTTACCACAATTTAAAAAATTTTCCACCCTGTGTTTTTCTTGGCACCTCAAATTTCTGAAGTTGAATGGAGGTTTTTTTAAGCCTGAGTTCCCATATTGCATAAAAAGGTTCTATACATACTGCATTCTTTTTTTTTTTTTTTTAAATATTTTATTTATTTGAGAGAGAGAGAATGAGAGACAGAGAGCGTGAGAGGGAGGAGGGTCAGAGGGAGAAGCAGACTCCCTGCTGAGCAGGGAGCCCGATGCGGGACTCGATCCTGTGACTCCAGGATCATGACCTGAGCTGAAGGCAGTTGCTTAACCAACTGAGCCACCCAGGCGCCCTACATACTGCATTCTTAACCAAGTATGAAATGGTTCCGACTTGAACTATTGATCTCTTCCCTTACATATTCTTTACCTTCAGGGAGAACTAGACCTGGAAGTTTCCAGTCCCTTTCTGATGGTAAGCATTGACCCTCTGCTCTTGATTGCTGTGGGAGATGTTACTGATATGAGATACAGTCTGGGGAGTCATGGGGAAAGGTGGTAATTAGATGAAATTTCTTCTGAATCTACCACCATTGTTAGAGAAATTTTCTGTTACTGAATAAGGAGGTCAAGATCATGCTGGCTATAGGAGCAAGGGGTGACTTTGGGGAGGAGCTAAGATCTACTTTGGGCCATAAAGATGTCTCAGATGCCTTGGGAGCTCACAAGTCAAAAAAATGTGCGTGAGAAGGAAGCAATAGAGGAAAGGGTTGACCTGAAGATGGTGTCCTTCTGAACCAGCTGCCTGTTCTTTTTCAGCTCTGTCGGACGTACCTGCCAAAAGCTATGCTCCAGAGCTGGGCAGACCCAAGGGGGAATACAGGGTGAGTTATAGCTTACACTGGTGTGACACTTTACAAGTTCCAAGCGCTTTGATGTACATTATCTTGCTTGATATTTCCAACTTTTTGAGCAGCTATTATTTTAACTTTTTTGTAGATAAGAAAACTGGGTATTTAAACATCAGGGTTTGCCTTGGGTCTCATAGCTATTAAGTGGTGGAACTGGGACTCACAATCTGTTTTCTGATTCTTAGTACACTTTCTTTACCCATTATACTGCCTTTTGGAGGCTGTACTTTGAAACTTTTGATCATTGCTGTGGTCTGGAAGCTTGGTGGAGCTCATATTCCCAAGAAGCACATAACAAAGCAAATTCATTCATAAGGAAGAAACTATTATAAGGTCCAGAAGAGGAACATGTCTCCCTCTTTCCTTCTGTCTGCAGAGTCATTCATTAGAATCCCAAAACGTGACTGATTATATCTGGTGAATGAAATCCTGAGCCACTAGGCATAGGGTTTTGTCAGTCGGTTCTTTCCCTCTTTGATCCATCTCTTCTTGCCTTCATTGTCCCTATTCTAATTCCTTCAGAAACTCAGAACAAGACTATCCCTGTTCTTCATTTTTTTTTTTTTCCATTCATTTCCTCCTCCCATAAAATATTTCCCTATCGGGGAATAAAGATGAGTTTCAGGTGAGGAGCTGGCACACTGATAATTCTGATCCCTTAACTTCCTGAGATTCATGTGTTGTTAACATTCCAGGATTACAGCAATGACTGGAGCCCCAGTGACACAGTGTGGCGCCTCCGGAAGGGCAAGGTGAGGTCACTGGAGAGAGAGTTCTTGTGGGGGAAAAACCATCATGGCTGAGAAAAAATATTTGCAAAATACATATATTGTAAAGGATTTTTATCCAGACTATATAAAGGACAATGATTATCTTTCATAAGAAGATAAACAACCCAATAAGAAACTTGGCATAAGATTTCAGTTATATCAGAAAAAAGGTACATGAATGGCCAAAGAGCACTTGAGAAGATCTTCCACATCAACAGTTATCAAGAAAATGTGAATTAAAACTGTGAGATACTACTGTACAGCCACTAGAGTGGCTAAATTTAAAAATACTGATCATACCAAGCACTGGGAGGCTGTGAAGGAGCTAGAGCTCTCTCATACAGTGGGGGCAAGAAAGTGAAATGTTAAAACTACTCTGGAAAATGGTCTGGCAGCTTCTTACAAAGTTAAACATATACTTAATTTTATTGCTAGACATTTACAATCCAAGATAATTGAAATATGCTCAAAGACTTATACACGGGGGCACCTGGGTGGCTCAGTAGGCTGAGTGTCTGACTTTTGGTTTTAGCTCAGATCATAATCTCAGTGTCCTGGGATTGAGCCCTATGTTGGGCTCGCGCTCTGTGCAGAGTCTCCTTGTCCTTCCCCCTCTGCGCCCCACGCCCCACCCCCCATGTGCCCACTTTCTCGTGTGCGTGCTTTCTCTCTCTCAAATAAAATCTTAAAAAAAAAGACAACACAGATTTTCACAACAGCTTTATTCATAATAGCCCCCAAAATGGAAATAACCCAAATATCCTTCAGTAGATAAATGGATAAATGGTGATCTGTCCATACAATGAAAACTACTTACCAGTGAATAGGAACAAACTAGTAGTACTCATCACAACATATAGATTCCTCTGAGAAATGTGATATTGAGTGAAAGAAGTCAGATGTAAAAGAGTACATATTGTATGATTCTATTTGTGAAATTTAGGAAAAGAGAAAACTTCAGTGACTGAAAGATGAGTGGCTGCCAGGAGTTAGGGATGGAAGGAGGGCATTGACATCAGCCCACAAGGGAACATTTTGGCATGATGGAGTTGTTCTGTATCTTGATGGTGGTAACAGTTAGATGGAATTTTATACGTACTTGTCAAACTCGCTGAACTCTATGCTTGAGTAGATTTTACTGTATGTCAATTATACGTCATTTAAAAGAGAATTAGTGATCTCCAGCCTTTGGCTGCAGCAGGACTCCATGAAGACATGTGGACTTCCTTGCACACTAACTCTGCTCTTGTACTGCCAGGTCTGCTCTCTAGAACGATTCCGCTCCTTACAGGACAAGCTACGACTCCTGGAAGAAGCAGTCAGCGTGCACGACGGAAACGTCATTACTGCAGTAAGTAGTGGGCTTTGTCTTTTGCTTAATTGTTGTTCTCATTAGTTTCTCGAAGCCTGATCAGAATAGGAGTTTAACATTTTAGGTTAAATGTCTAGTAGAGATCCTGGGTTCCTCCTGAAGTGTAGGATCCTCAGTAATACCTGCTCTGAGGCTCGGCTGGCAGGAAATGCATCGGATGTGGAACTCTTGATTATCAAGAAGCAGCAGGTTGGCTACTCTGTTCTAAAAAGTAATCTGAGGGGGGCGCCTGGGTGGCTCAGTCAGTTAAGCAGCTGCCTTCGGCTCAGGTCATGATCCCAGGATCCTGGGATCGAGCTCCGCATCGGGCTCCCTGCTCGGCGGGCAGCCGACTTCTCCCTCTCCCTCTGCCTGCCTCTCTGCCTGCTTGTTCTCTCTCTCTATCTCTCTGTTAAATAAATAAATAAAATCTTTAAAAAAAAAAAAAAGTAATCTGAGGGGCGCATGGGTGGCTTAGTCGGTTGAGTGACCCACTCTTGATTTCAGTTCAGGTCATAATCTCAGGGTCGTGAGATCGAGCCCTGCATGGGGCTCTGAGCTCAGCAGGGAGTCTGCTTGAGATTCTCTCTCTGCTTCTCTCGCTGCTGTGTGCACGCGTGTAAGTGCACATTCGCATGCGCTCTCTCTCAAATAAATAAATCTTTAAAAAAATAAAAACAACAATAAAAAAGTAATGTGAGGCAGGAGAGGCATGAGAGCAGTCTCTCCCAGAGGGAGGTGTCTCTTGCCAGTATGGGAATGTCTCTGAGACACAGCTCAATTCCACATGTCTATCACCTGTCCTTCCATCCCAAAGAGAAATCTGTTGTCTGAATGTGCCAAGATTCCTAAGGAGTCACCTCATTCCTACACATCAGGAGCTCAGGGCAGGGCTTTGTGTTTGTAGGTTACACAGGGTAACTTATTCTTTGTTCTCTTTTCCTCTAGGTTCTGATCTTCCTGAAAAGGACACTGAGCAAAGGTGAGCATGAACTGAGAGAAATCTTCAGATGACAAGATGCCTGCTACATTTGAAGGGAGAATGGCATTGTGGCTTCCATTATCAGAATTCACCATCATCAGCTCTGCTTCAAAGACAGCTGGGGTGGCCTAAGACTTCAGAGTATTCTTCTCATCTCTGAGGGTGGTTGTTCATCCTGTAGGGTGGTAAATACATTAACTCCAAAGCCTCCCTATTTACTAGACAGACAGATGGCTCTGTTGGTTTGAGGACCTCAGAGTCTATGCTAGGTGCCTGCTGGTTGGGTTGGTGAGAACTGAGGGCTGATTGAATGGCCAAGAGTTGCCCTGGACCATGGAGTGTGCTGGTGGTGGGTTGATCCAGAGGAATTGGTGCCACAAAAAGCTGTTCCTCACTTGTGATTGGCTTTGAGGAGATGTTTGGAATGTATGAGGAGGGAGACCAATTTCAGGCTTGAATAATAGGCTTTAATCTTTCTCCACCTAACTCCTTCCTGCCTACCAGAGATCCTCTTCCGAGAGCTGGAGGTGCGACAGGTTGCCCTGAGACATCTCATTCACTTCCTTAAAGAAATAGGGGATCAAAAGCTGCTTTTGGACCTCTTCAGGTAAGAACTGATCATCTTGTCTATAAAGTTTACAAAGTACTTTATTCAAAGCTCTCTGGAGGATACAAAGAGAGAAGACACTGTCCTTTTTTGTTGTTAGGTGAGATACTGAAACATGATGGGATAACTAATAATGTACCTCAGCCAGTGATAAAATGATAGTGTAGCAGGTGGTTAAGAACCAGACCCTGGAGTCCAACATAACCTGCATTGAATACAGGCACCACCACTTAGTTCATGAAGTGACCTTGAGCAAGTTCCCTAACCTCTCCTAGCATCAGTTCCACAACGATACAATGGAAATGATGATTCCTACCCCACAAGTGATGAAGATTAAGAGTTAGTGTGGGAAAAGCACTTAGTGTAATGCCTAGTCTGTATTATTAATATTTTTAAGCATTTTAAGGTATCTCTTACTACTTGGTCCCCAGTGATGCCAGTGGGAAGTACAATGGAAGAGCAGAAGAAGCAAATATAAGTTTCAGCCAGGATACCCAAAGAAAGCCTTATGGAAGAGGTTAGGAATTGAGACTAGATAGGAATCTGATAGGTGGAGAGGCAAGAGGTGGGCATAGCTACTGGAGGCCCAGGGCAGGGGAGTGTCTTCTACCATGTTTTCCTTCCTTACTTATCTCATTCTAATCAGTAGAGACTTTCTTGCCAGTAGATTAAAATGTGTATCTATTATGTCCTTTCTTCAATGCCAGGGAAGGGGTTGGAACCTCTTTTTAGGGTGATACGTGGCCCAAGGAAACTCCAATTACCCAGTGACTCTAGCACAGTGATGAGCTGTCCCAAAGACAAAGGTGGGAAAGCAGATCACTTGGTCAGGGCCAAGATTAGAGATGGTTAGCCAGGAATTTGCAGAAGACGTGTTCATTTAGGCAGGCTGTTCCCTTCCTTAATTCGCTCCCTTCCCAATCAACAAGGCTTTATTTTTTTTATTTTTATTTTTTATTTTTTTAAAGATTTTATTTATTTGACAGAGAGAGAGACAGCGAGAGAGGGAACACAAGCAGGAGGAGTGGGAGAGGGAGAAGAAGGCTTCCCGCTGAGCAGGGAGCCCGATGCAGGGCTCGATCCCAGGACCCTGGGATCATGACCTGAGCCAAAGGCAGACGCTTAACGACTGAGCCACCCAGGCGCCCCATCAACAAGGCTTTATTAAGCATCGCCTCTAGGTCAAAGCAGTGATTTGATTATAGTGGTCCATTGAGAATAGGAAGGAATCAGAAGACAAAGTCCTTGTTCTGCAAGACCTTACACCATTGAGAGAGACAAAGCTCTTTCTACACTGTACGTGAAAACAACAGAACAATATAGAAAATCTGTTTCCAAGATTGTACTGACAGAGAAGAGTGCTTTAGTTTTTCCAAAAATCCCTGTAAGATTACTGTGAACTAAGGTTTTGTGGAGGCTCTGAGCCTTTCTATCAGACCTGTTAACATTACAAAGTTATTAGTGTCCTGCAGTGCCTTCTTGTCCTTGCTTTTTCAGCGAGAGCGATCAGGGGGAACAATAATATTTGATCCACCATGTGTTTTCAAGAGGTTGCTGGTGGTAGAAAGTTTAAGAAGAGGAGGGCTTACTCATGTATAGAGGCAAATGAATTTTGAATTATGTTTCTCCTAGAGCAGCCATCCTATTTTGTGAGGTTACATTGCCACACATCAATAGATAAAAATGCCCTGCTCCCTTCTGCTTCTTCCCAGGTTCCTAGATAGAACAGAAGAGCTTGCGGTAAGTGTGGCCTTTGTTTCAGTTGGGGACCTGTTTAACAGAAATGTAAGCCAAAACCCAGTCTCCGAGATCCCAGAGTAGTTAACAGTTCCTTTCCTTTGGTATTGATTGCATCCAAAAGAGAAAGGCATCTGGGAAGCCTGAAAACTTAATCCAAGTGATGTATTATTTCTTTTTATATGCTCTTTTGATTGGGCTTATGAATATTTTTTTGAAGAATGAATAAAAACTGGCCTGGTCAATTTGTAATTTGTTTTTTAGTTTCTAGTTGTTTTCAGATCCTGGTTTATAGGAGCTTTTGGGTTTTGGCTTCCAATACTAGAAAATGTTGTAAGTTAAGAGGGATAAGATCATGGAACACTACATCAAAAACTAATGATGTAATGTATGGTGATTAACATAACATAATAAAAAAAAAAAAGAGGGATAAGAAACCAGATATAGGTCAAGAAGGAAGATAGGTCAAGCTGGTGGTGCACCCAATACACATTTTGGCTGAGAGCTCAATGACTGAGTGTTATAACTGATTTTTGGCAGATTTTCACCATTACAGAATAAACTCCTGGAATACAAGAATAAAGCTGAAATTGTACCAAAAATTTCATTATATTATTAAAACTGTAGTGATCCACTTTTTGAAAGTTTGCCCTTATAGTGCAAGGGTTAGAATTCCTCAGCACCATCAATGGCAGTCACTGCCGTTTCGTTCCTTCAGTCACTGCCTCACTGTAGCACACGTTTGTGGTGAGATCAGGGCTCACATTCAGCTGGCACGTCTAATAACCTTGCTAACCTTTGCCCAGCAGAATGTAATTCAGGAAAATGTTTTTCAGTACCGTTTTGTAAAAGGAACTTGTACTTAATATTCAAGGCGTGGGAAAATCTCAGAAATCCTTTATCATAATCTACTGAAAATGACTGGCAGTCTGTAGCAATCATTTGGAAATGCTTTTTGTTTACATTTTTAATCTCCATAGATTTGAAACTGTAAGGAATTTTCTTCATACAGCATTCTTATAAAGTTTGTTTTTTGAAGTTTGATTAGTGAAAATAAATGTGTTTTGGGTAGCTCATTTTCCTCTAAAGCATTCTTATTTTCTTCCTTTCTCTATTATTTTTGAATTGAAGGACTTTGTTTAAATTAAAGACTTAAGGCCAAAATGGAATTGAACAATAAAAATTAACTATAGCTCTTAAAGATTACTTTCTTTGATACTAAGAATGATTATATTCTAGATATTTTATGAAGATTAGATTATTATATAATCTCTATTCATTTTCATTTTTATACACTTGTTTCTAAAAGGATATACTGTCCTTCCTGAAGTCAGTTCATTCTCTTAATATTGATATTAACTGTCAATCTATTTTTTAATCCTTGGAAGGTTTTTTTTTTTTTTTAAAGATTTTATTTATGAGAGAGAAGGAGGAAGAGCAGAGGGAGAGGGACAAGGAGACTCTGCGCTGAACATGGAGCCCAATGTAGGGCTCGATCTCAGGACCCTGAGATTATGAACTGAGCCAAAACCGAGAGTCAGATGCTTAACCAACTGAGCCATCCAGGCTCCCTGGTTCTTGGAAAGTTTTAATAATTGTACATAAAATCGCAACTTTTATAATCATCATTAATTATTGCATCAATTAGTTCTCGTAATAATAAATAGGGATTTAAGCTTCAGTTCTTTTTTTAGAATTCCAAAATAGAAAGCACATAAGGAGATTTTCTTTCAGAGTTGTATGTAGAACCTGTAGTATTTGAATGTGCATCTTCAGTAGGTGTCAGCAGTGAATCAGAGGACATGGCTTATTCATGTTACTGATGTTGTTAATTATTAGCTACTTATAGGATCATGCTACCATTGATCATGTACAAGGTCAAGGGTGCTGAAAATAACGTTGGAGTAAGCATTTAGTTCTTTGGCCTTTCAAAGGCTAAAGCTGAAGCAAAAGCTGGTTTTAGTTAAATAGTGAGGCTGAAGCCAAACTTTGGAGTAAAGCTAGGTACTTAACTACTCAGTGCTTCATTATAGGCTAGTACTGTCCAATAGAGCTTCCTACGATGATGGCAGTATTCTCCATCTGTGCTGTTAGATATGGTAGCCACTAGTCACATGGTAAAATGACTAATATAACTAAGGATCTGAATTGTTTAACTTAATTAATTTAAATGTAAATGTAAACCAAATGGGGGTAGTGGTTACAGTGTTGGATATTGCAGTTATAGATAAACCAAAGAGTGATTTTGAAGATTTTCTTTTTTAAAGTAATCTCTACACCCAGTGTGGGGCTTGAACTTACAATCCCGAGATCAAGAGTCCCACGCTCTGCTTACTGAGCCAGCCAGGTGTCCCCAAAGAGCAATTTTGAATTACTCTCTACCCTCTCCCTACCTGCATACCTGTCCCCACTCAGAGGAATCTCTGATAATGAAGAATTTAGTTTTTTAAGGATGGAAAGGCTACTTACATAGCCACTTCACCCTTCAAAGGAGACAAAGTAGACAAAATGGTTCAAAGCCTTTCTTTCTTTTATTTGTTTATTTTTTTGTAGCTGTCTCATTATCGTGAGCACTTGAACATTCAGGACCCTGAGAAACGAAAAGAATTTCTTAAGACCTGCATTGGGTAAGTATTGGGGAGAAATGTTTTAAAGTATAAATATTCTTATACAGAGAACTGAAGAGACTAAATGAGGGTGGAGTGGATAGGTACTTGAAGGGAAAGGCTAACAGTGGGTTGTACAAGCATCATTAAAGCTGGTCTCATTCAGTGCTTCCAGACATTAATTCCCCAGTAGAGTTTTCACTGATGGGTAGTAAATTGAGAAAAATAAAGAAAATGTAAAGAGTTTTTTTCTACAGTTAAATTTATCTAATTTGAAAGACTGCCTTTTATTCTGGGATTATTTTTTCCTCCTCTCCCTCCCTTTTTGGGGGTAAAATGGGATGTAATTTTTTTTATGACTTTATATATTACAATAAAAAGGTTGGCAGCACTACCTTCCATATTATTTTCAGTGTTAACTGGTCCCCGACACCTCAGGGCACAAGAACCACTGATTCAGTATAGGAGTTCATCCAGGATATAAGTCCCTATAAAAACCAGCCCCACATACTACTCTTCCAGTGATGAACACTCACTGCTCTTGGAAGTAGCTTATTCTAGTGCTCGCTTCGGCAGCACATATACTAAAATTGGAAGAAAGTAGCTTATTCTGTTGTTGGACAACTTTCATTATCGTTAAATACTTATTGAGCTGAAACTTGCTTCCTTCTCTTTCAAGACGGGCATAGAGTCTACACAGTAGGTCTTAATCCAGGTTCAGTATTCACAGTTGCTTTGGTCATTCCTCATGGGATAGGAATTCCAGGATTCACATTTAGAAATTTGTCTTTGTCTGTGCAATCCTTAATTTTAATGTTACCAGATACTGAGCTATGTCATAGTGGCCTCTGGTGAACAAAGAGAAGAGTTAGAATAGTGAAGTAACTGAAACCTAGTGCTGTCTCCCTTTATCTCTTCTAAAAATTGGCTGTGGCTCACACTTACCTGGGATAGTGTAACTGAGTTTCAGAATTCTTCCGGGAGTGAGTGGAGTATGGGACTAAGGCAGCACTTTCTAAAGGAGAGATCTGTGAACTGGAAGCTTAAAATCTGGCTTCTGTTCCTGCCTTACATCTTGGTTTACCATGTATGACTTTCAGGCAAGATTCTCCTTGTCCCTCAACTTTTTCACGTGTAAAATATAGTGTTGAAGATGGGACCCTTGATATCTGTGTAGATGTCTGCGATCTTTATCAGCCTATACACGTACCAGCGTGCCTGGTAATTTAATTTTACCTTATTCCTCTGCAATAGGAAATGGCTAACAATTGTAAGCACCCCTTAAGGAGAGTTAAGCATTGACATTAAGGCAGGACAGGAGCCACAGGGCTTCACTGGGTTGTGGATGATGGGCAGTCGCCTAGGCTCACTCATTCACTAAGTGACTCATTCGCCAAACATTCCAGCTCCCACAGTGAGAGGTTTCTAACTCATTCCTCAGCAAAACCGCTGATGACTATATATTTTGTGGACTTTCAGGATCCCTCTTTTTTTTTTTTAAGATTTTATGTTTTTTAAAGTAATCTCTGCACCCAACAGAGGGCTGGAACTGACAACCCTGAGATCAAGAGTTGCATACACTACTGACTGAGCCAGCCAGGCGCCCCTCAGGATCCCTCTTGAATTGGCAAAACCTAAAATACAGAATCCCCACCAAAGGTCTATTCTGTTTTCTGCTTTCTCTCTCTCTGCCTTTCAGGGTTGCTCTAAAGGTGCACTGAGATCAGATTTGTGAAGTGCCGTGAGCCTCTTCTGCTTACGGTAGTGATTTGATTTAGTTGGGTTTGTTTCTTGTTTCAGTAGAGAAAGAGGTACTAACCTTCTGGCTCTTTACCAGTTTGCCATTTTCAGCAGAAGATTCTGCACATATTCAAGACCATTACACCCTCCTGGAACGCCAGATCATTATTGAGGTTAGACTCCTTGTCTCTACATTTTCTGCTTCAATGCTAGTGCTCAGTGCCATTCAGCATCTAGGAGACCTCTATGCTCTGCTGTATGTGTCATTTCCTGTTATATCCTCTAAGAGCCTTTCATTTCCTCTTTCCATGGTAGCCCTTTCCCCTTCATTGTTCTCAGGCATCCTTTTTCTTGCTGTTAACCTGGAAGTGTTTTCTCTCCCAGAACTCCCATTTCATCCTTACTTCTCCAGTCGTCCTCCATTCAACATGGATCTATCATCATTTTATGGATTTTAAACTCCCCTGCGTTATCCTGGGCAGTTTCTTTCTTTCTCTCTTCTTTGCCTCCTTCCTAGGATAGGAAGCACAACGGCTTTAGTATTTAATGTTTCTCTCCTGCCTCTACTCTGCAGATATTGTTGTTTTTTCACTTGGTTCACTCCACCACAGGCAAATGATCGACATCTAGAATCAGCAGGACAGACTGAGATCTTTCGGAAGCACCCCCGCAAAGCTTCTATCCTCAACATGCCATTAGTGACCACGCTTTTCTACTCGTGCTTCTACCATTACACGGAGGCTGAGGTACAGGCAAAGTGTGAAAGACCCCACACTCTCTCACCACACAAGAGAAGATAATTTTAAGCCAATTATTTCAGTGTGCTCTTAACAGTGGGTGTGTGTAGTTCTTGGGGAGGTCCATCCGGAAGCTTCCCTGGCCCTCAGAAGGGGTGAGCCAAGGGGGAAAAAGAGGTTTGAAAGGACTTGTGTGGCTTCCAGGAGCTGGCATGCTAGCATGGGACATTCAGTCTCACCAGTGCTGGTCCCTGCTCAAAGGTCCATAATTGCAAGTGAATTCACATGGTATAAAGAAGAGCAGCAGGGTGTTTGTATTTGTGGGTACTTAAAAAAAAAATGTTTTTTTGAAGAGGTTCGAGTTTAATGATCATAGGTGGGAATGATCTTAATGATCACAAGATTGGCATAAAATTGAGAAATACACCATACCTATTAATCCAGTCTTGTTTAACCAAGTTATGATATCCAGTTAGACCTGGTGGAGTTTTTCTCTTAAATTAACTTCTGGGTTTAAATGGCTACAGAGAGAAATGTACAGTGTCTACGTAGTAGAAAGAAAATGTTAGATTGGGTGGTATTTGGGAAAGTCAGTAACAGTAAAATTCCTTCTCCATGGGGCTCCTGGGTGGCTCAGTTGTTAAGCGTCTGCCTTCTGCTTGGGTCATGATGCCGGGGTCCTGGGATGGAGCCCCGCATCGGGCTCCCTGCTCTGCGGGAAGCCTGCTTCTCCCTCTCCCACTCCCCCTGCTTGTGTTCCCTCTCTTGCTGTCTCACTTTCTGTCTGTCAAATAAATAAATAAAATCTTAAAAAAAAAAAAAAATTCCTTCTCCACTTTCATCCTAGGGGACGTTCAGCAGTCCAGTCAACCTGAAGAAGACATTTAAGGTAGATATAAATTGGTCAGTGTTTGGTAAAGTAGTATCAGGGTGACTGCATGGAATGGATGTTGCTTGGTCACCCTATACAGGAAGTCCCTTGATGGTCATGGTTAAAGGTAGAAAGGAGTGAGTGTGTGAGAAGTGAGGGAAGACTTAAACGGAATGGCCTGCAGCAGTGCTGGGGCTTGGGAATGAAGAGGTTCTTGATGACTTGAGAGATTTGTGCATTTTAAGGGACAGAATCAACATCAGGGAATATTTTTGCCTATCTTTTCCAGAATTCTCCCCTGATGCATTTCTCCTCCCCCTTAATTCCCCTGGTCTCTGCTTTTTAGATCCCAGACAAACAGTATGTGCTGACGGCCCTGGCTGCCCGTGCCAAGCTTCGAGCCTGGCATGATGTCGATGCCCTCTTTACCACAAAGGTGGGTGCCTGGAGACTGTCTGGTGCTGCTGAAGCCTTGGACATACCATCGTGTTACCCCAGGCCTCGTGGGGGTCTCCCATTCTAGTTATTGGTTTACATTTTTCCTCCAACTTTTTATTTTCCAAAATGTCAAACTGAAAGAAAAGTTGAGAGAATAGTATAATAAACAACTAAAAGTCTTACTTCACTAATTTATCAACATTTTTGCCATATTTGCTTTCTCTTTTTTCTTTCGCTGAACCATTTGAAAGTAAGTTGCAGACAACATGACACTTCTCCTTTGAATACTTAAGCATTTATTTCATTTATAACCATAGTATTATTATCATTTTCAGGATATTTAACATTAATATTATGATATCATATCTATAGTCTGTATTCAAATCCGCTCTTTAGAGCTTTTTGTTTCTTTTTGTGTTTGTTTGCTGTCAGGATCCAGTAAGGATCTTGCATTACTTTGGTTGTCATGTCTCTGTTTATATTTTAAATATCCTTTTTTCTATAATGGATTTGAGAATTTTCTTGTTTTCCCATCTGTTAGGTTTTTGTTGTTGTTTTCTTGTTGTTTGGGTTTTTGTTTTTTTAAGATTTTATTCTTAAGTAATCTCCACACACCCAATGTGGGGCTCAAACCCACGACCCTGAGATCAAGAGTTTCATGTCCCACCTACTGAGCCCACCAGGTGCCCCCCCTTTTGGTGGTGGTTATTGTTGTTAGTTATTTAATTAGTTACATTGACTACCAAAGCAATACATGTCTGTGTCAAAATCAAACACTATATGAGAGCACAGACAGTCAAATTATGTGAAATTCCTCGTCCATTGTCTACCTGCTCCTGTCTCAGTCCCTTCTGCAAGGCAAATAATCTTAAAAGTTTGATGGGTAGTTTTCCAGACTTTCCCTCATGAATTTACAAATACCCTTATATGAATATAAACACAGAGGATAGGATTTTTTCTACCCAGATAAGTTCATACTACAAGTATTATAAAGTAAATTGCTTATTTCATTTAGCCATATTTCACAGACTTTTTTCTGCCTGTAGATCTAAGAACTTATTTCATAGCTTTGGCTTTTTTTTTTTTTTTTTTTTAAGATTATTTATTTATTTATTTGACAGAGAGAGAGACAGCGAGAGAGGGAACACAAGCAGGGGGAGTGGGAGAGGGAGAAGCAGGCTTCCTGCTGAGCAGGGAGCCCGATGCGGGGCTCAATCCCAGGTCCCTGGGATCATGACCTGAGCTGAAGGCAGACGCCTAACGACTCAGCCACCCAGGTGCCCCTCTTTGGCTCTTTTTCCACCCTCTTAAATTCCTTGACTTTTCTGAAAAACTCCTCTCTCTTCACTTCTCTATCTCCCACCTCCCATCCATCCATACTCACCACCATGTTATTCTAGTCTAAACATAAAATGAATGGTCACAAAATGTGTTGAGTCTGTCTTGCCTAGCTACTGCTGCCCTGTCTTCCCTTTTCAGAACTGGCTGGGCTACACTAAGAAGAGAGCACCCATTGGCTTCCATCGGGTTGTGGAAATTTTGCACAAGAATAGTGCCCCTGTCCAGGTAACAGCCCCCAAAGAGTGTTGGGTACAGGATCCTCTAGGAGACCTAACTTTTAGCCTCTTACTGGTCAGTGATGGGAGACTTGAGACCTGCTCTGGTCTTATCTTAAAGATAACATAATGGTGGTAGTGGACCTTGAGATAGAAAAGGCGAAGGAGGGAAGTTCTCCTCTCCCCTTTAGAAGTAATCCCAGACTGCCCCTCTTTGAGGAGCATCTACTGTGCCCATGTGGAGCACTGACATATTCAAATGATACAAAAGGAGAGCTCAGTGAGAAAGGACATCAAGGAGCAATGAGCATAGCACCAGCTCAGATCTAGAGCACACCTCTTGCTGGCCTGGGTATCTAGCTGTAGGGTAAGGCAGAATGTGCTCTTCCCATCTGCCCTGGGCAAGCACGGAAGTACTGCATACAGTCACCTCATTCCCCATTGCAGAGCTAGTTCTCTGGTTGATCATGGGAATGGTAGACATCAGATATGGAACTCTTGCCTTTCTCAGGAATTTTGTTGTCTTCCTTTTAGAGCTCTTTGTTTTATGGGTCTGGGAGTCATTAATCAGAAGTACCTTTTCCCATAGATACTACAAGAGTATGTTAATTTGGTGGAAGATGTGGACACAAAGTTGAACTTAGCCACCAAGTTCAAGTGCCATGATGTCGTCATTGATGTGAGTCCTAAGAAATGAGAACCGTGAGTTAGACCCTTACTGGAGAATGGGGGATTATGATATTCTCTGTCTTATTAGATCCTGAGGTGCTTTCAATTTCGACTTAACAGACAAAATGATCTGGCAAGAATTAGTTTGGAACGAGTTCTCCTGTATTATTTCCCCAGCCCTTTGATAACCTCTCTGCTTTTATAAATTTGTTGCACTTATGGAATTCACAGAACTGAATCCAGCCACATAAGCTCTGTAGATTTCTCTTCAGTAAGAAGTTCTGTAGGTGTTTGACCCCACTGTCATCCCACTATAGGCCGTCAGCCTCTCCTTGAACCTTGGCCCCATGTTGAGAGTGGCAGAAAGAAAAAGGCCCTCGTAGAGAAGGCTGATTGGAGGTTTTATTGTGTCTGTTGGTGTATAGACTTGCCGGGACCTGAAGGATCGTCAACAGTTGCTAGCATACAGGAGTAAGGTGGATAAAGGATCTGCAGAGGAGGAGAAGATTGATGCCATTCTGAATAGCTCGGTGAGCAGCTAAAGCATACTCTCCAGCAGTCCCAGGAGACGGTCCTCAATAGTACCATCAAATATATATCCCCAAGGCCTGGATGGGGTCACAGTTTGCTGAGTATCATGGATACAAGGATCTCTTCCGGGCCTCAGGATCTGAAGCACTGCTTTGAATAGCAGAAATTACTCCTCTGAGATGTGGGATGACCCAGTGGTAATCTGGGGACCTGGGGCTGAGACTTCACATAGCACCCTGGTAATCATTAAACATAGTGGGTAGGAGGTACTAGTCCAGGGAGTATGGAAACAACTGCTACGGATTCAGAACATCCAGATGGTAGTTTCCTGGGCCAGGTGTGACCTACCTGTTGGAAATAAGTGGGTAAAACAGATATTAGCTATTTGGGCAACAGCGGGCTCATCTCTCATAGCAGGAAATTGCTGAGCTTTTTGTTAATATGGAGCTTAGCTCCCTGTTAGATATTTTGGGACCTACCCTTGGGTTATCTAAAGCTAGTGAGTCTTGGTCCTGCGTAGGGCAGAACCAGAACAAATGCCCTAAATGAAATTTATGATACACAGGATGGGTGTTTGATTCATCTTTGAATAAGCAAACTCCCCCACATCTTAGAAAAACAATTCTCAATTTCATTCTCCATTCTTATTCTTACTTTATCTAGCTGTTAGCCTTGTTTTATTGTATTCCGCTACCTCTCTCTAGGGGTCAGTGGAAACAGATATTGTTTGTTCTTTTTACAGCAAATTCGATGGAAGAATTAAGTGGCATTGGCTACCCTGAAACCTGCCTCATTTCTTCTTTTCCTGCCTGTGAAAGTAGAGTGTGCTCTTCAACACATCGCTTGGACCCATCATCAACAGGCAGTGCCTGCTACTCTGAGGACAGAAACCAGCGTCTGGGCACAGACAGCTTCAGACTGATCTTCTGTCCAAGGATCATCGTCCAAGGGCCAAGATCTAAAGCTTTGACTCATGAGGAAGATTCTCTCCACCTGGTGCTCACATGAAGGTGGGAGTAATTTCTAGATTGGGCCCATATTGGGCAAGATCTCTCTTGGTCTGGGAAAAATGACTGCTCTAGAAAAGAAGTCATCTAGACTAAGAGGTCAGGTGTCATAGAGTGGCCACTCCATTCCTCTCAGCTAATTATGACCCTGGACTTGGTGCTGGACATTGGCAGTTCTGCTCTGAATGAAGTCAGAAAAGAACCAAAATGGCTTTCTCCCAAGGGACCTCAGGAAGGGGTGCCAGTAATAGCCACGAACTATTGGAGGTGCCTTCACACCAGACTGCACAGAGTTCTCCACATAATGACAGAGATTGCCCAGATGTCGTGTTTCTTCAACCAGTGCCCTCTGCTGCCCCAGTCTAGCCTCTGTCCGAGACTTGTGGTTCTTCTCTCACCTGCACACCAAGATGGCCTTGTGTGGGAGATAAGGACATCCCCGTTATCTTTTCCTCTACTTCTCCCACCCTAAACCCATAACCTTTTATGGAGCTCAGATTCAGCACTGCTGTAGTGCTCTTCCCTTATGCACATATCTCATTATTTCACTAGGAGCTTCCAGAAGGTTCACCAGGGCTAAACTCAGCAGCATTTCAGACGGTTAGGATATTAAGATGGAGGTTTGAGTTTCACACGTGGTTTTCAACAGGATATTCTGTAGTACTAGCCTCCTGCCCTGTACCAATATTAGCCTCTCTTCTTTGTGACTGAACTGGGTTTCCCCGACATGCCTAGACTCTATTAATAAAGCTTTTTCCTCCTTGGTGCCTTCTCTTTCCCTCCTAGTTGTTTTGTGCAGAACAATGAAATAATTGCCCTGTCTCTTGGGACCACTAGAAACCTGCCTCAGTGACCGCATTCAGTATCTGTCAACCTAAGTCATGGAGTAACGGTGTTTATGGCAAAGTATGGCTGTGTGGTTAATGGAGCACCAAGCTGGGAGACAAAAGACCTGGCCTCTTGTCTCAGTTCTACCACTGATAAGCTGTGTGGTGTTGAGTGAATCCCTTTCTCTCTGGACTCACTATCTTAACCTGTCATAGGATGGTGTGTTTCTCTCAGAGCTTGTAGAATTATATGCCCCTGTGGAGTGGGTGAAGTTTTAGAGGAAAAGGAGATGTATAGAAGCACACAGCAGGGGGCGCCGGGGTGGCTCAATTGGTTAAAAGTCTGTCTTCGGCTCAAGTCATGATTTCCTGGTCCTGGGATAGAGCCAGGCATCGGCATCGCGTAGGGCTCCCTCCTCAGTGAGGAGTCTGCTTCTCTCTCCCTCTGCCCCTCCCCACTGCTTGTTCTCTCTCTTTCACCCAAATAAATAAAATCTTAAAAAAAAAAAAAAACCCCAGCAGGCTTTAAGGCATGTGGTTCTCAACTGGGGACAATTTTTCCCTCAGGAGACCCGTGTCAAAATCTGGAGATGCTTTGTTGCTACAAGTGGGCGCTACTGGCGTCTAGTGCGTAGAAGCAAGAACGCTGCGAAACGTCCTACAACGTAGGACAGCCGCCCAGAATGTCAGTAATGCGAACCTGCTTTAAGGTTATCAGACTCCGGCTCTTGCTCCTTCACTTTGCAATTCCAGGTAATTTCATAGTTCCTTTTCTAATCATCCCTCTTGCTACTGAAGAAACAGGAGTTTAATTTGCTAAATTGTGCTGAAGTTATTGCCTGATCGTCCAACGAACCATGGTGGCTTTATTACTTAGTATACCCGGATTCATTTAGAGAAACAGAATCATTAGTATGTAGTCTGTCTATATGTAGGATTCATTACAGGGATTGGACTTTACTCCAGTATGGCTTTGGTTAAACAGTCTCTGGAAGGTTGTCTTCATACCTGGTGGTAGAGCTGGATGTCCACAGGGCAGGCAGTGGGGAAGGGAAGGTGGATAAAATGTGAGGGAAAGCAAGGACAAGATGGAGCCCGTGAGGATGGACAGGAACCCGTGTCAATTCTCACTGCCTCTAATGTTGAGGAAGTGGGTGTCCTGCAGCTGGTGGCCTTTGTCGCACAGCTGAACACAAACCTGGCTCAGGAGTGTGAGAAGCTGTAGGAGGATCCAGGGGAAACTGTAGCAATTGTGGGTCCAACTGCTGCCCCCCACCAGCAGGGTTGCTAGCAGACAAAGTACCTGCCCTGACCTTGCAAGCATCAACACAAACTCGCCGTTGCTTCAACTCAGCCTTCCAGATCTTGCACAAAAGTCTCTTGTGGCTAACCAGAAATATTCAGGGAAGGGAATTCTGGGAAATGTAGTTTAGCCTAGCAAACTTGACACATTACAAAGCCACAACCGCTGGATCCATATTTCTGAGAATGTGTTAGCGAAGGATGGGCCTAGAGTCCACAGCTGTACAGGTTCATGGTCATGCTGAGTGGGGAGATCCTGAACTTTCTCCTTCAGAACAATAACATCACATGCAACGTTAGGATTACCTACCTACTCAGTGTTGTGATCAAAGGAAGTATTTTCTCAAACTTGATAAGAGCTTCCATACTCTTCACTTCAAGTGCTAAGATTGGGATTGACATAAGAGCTCTCGAATGATAGTCTACTAATCTTTGAGAAAGCAGGAAAGAATATCCAGTGGGGAAAAAGAAAGTCTCTTTAATAAATGGTATTGGGAAAACCGGACAGTGACATGGAGAAGAATGAAACTGGACCACTTTCTTACACAATACACAAAAACAAACTTGAAATGGATGAAAGACCTAAATGTAAGACAGGAAACCATCAAAATCCTAGAGGAGAAAACAGGCAGCAACCTCTTTGACCTTGGCCGCAGCAACTTCTTACTTAACGTACCCCGTACCTCCAGAGGCAAGGGAAACAAAAGCAAAAGTGAACTATAGGGAGCTCATCAAGATAATAAGCTTCTGCATAGCAAAGGAAACAACAAAATCAAAAGGCAACCAATGGAATGGGAGAAGATATTTGCAAATGATATATTGGATAAAGGGTTAGTATCCTAAATCTATGAAGAACTTATCAAACTCAACACCCAAAAAACAAATAATCCAGTTAAGAAATGGGCAGAAGACATGAATAGACACTTTTCCAAAGAAGACATCTGGATGGCTAACGGATGCATGAAAAGGTGCTCAACGTCACTCATCATCAGGGAAATACAAATCAAACCACAATGAGATACCACTTCAAGCCTGTCAGAATGGCTAAAATTAACAACTGAGGAAATAACAGGTGTTGGTAAGGCTGTGAAGAAAGGGGAACCTTTGTGCACTGTCGGTGGGAATGCAAACTGGTACAGCCACTCTGGAAAACAGTATGGAGGTTCCTCAAAAAGTTAAAAATAAGACTACCCTATGGCCCAGCAATTGCACTACTAGGTATTTATCCAAAGGATACAAAATACAAAAATGCTGATTCAAAGGGGGCACATGCACCCCAATGTTTATAGCAGCATTATCAACAATAGCGTAATTATGGAAAGAGCCCAAATGTCCATCAACTGATGGAATAGAAAAAGAAGATGGGTATATATGTATTTGTATTTACCCATTTGTATGGGTATAGATATACCCATCTTTGTATGTGTGTGTGTACACATATACAGTGTGTGTATATATACACTAAATTACTCTTATTTTCTTTTTTAAGATTTTATTTATTTATTTGACAGAGAGAGCGAGAGCAGTAACACAAGCAGGGGGAGTGGGCGAGGGAGAAGCAGGCTTCCCGCCGAGCAGGGAGCCCGATGCAGGGCTCAATCCCAGGACCCTGGGATCATGACCCGACCCGAAGGCAGGTGCTTAATGGGTATAGGGTTTCCTTTCATCGGGAAATGTTTTGGAACTAGAGGTAGTGGGTATGAGTGTATTGTGAATGTACTGGATTGTTCACTTCTAAGTGGCTATCTATGTTATGTGAGTTTCACCTCAATTTTTTTTTTTTAATTTAGAAAGTGGATTAGAGTGGTGCCTCGCTGGCTTAGTCTGTAGAAGGTGTGACTCTTGATCTCGGGGTCGTGAGTTCGAGCCCCACATGGAATGTAGAGATTACTTTCAAAAAAGTGGATTAGAGATTTGAGCTAGTTTTGATTTCTGATCTCAGTTTTGCCATTGCTGTAATAAAATAGAGTTCTGAATATCACTGATTTCTTTCCCTGGCTTTATTGAAGTATAATTGTATAAAATAAAAAATAAAATAAAAATTGTATATATTTAAGGCATACAACATGATGATTTGATATATGTTGTGAAATGATTACCACAGTTCAGTTAATTAACACATCTGTCATCTCATATAATTACCTTTTATGTATGTGGTGAGTACATTTAAGATCTACTCTTAGCAAATTTCAAGTATAATTAACTATAGTCATTATGGTGTACATTAGATCCCCAGAACTTACTCATCTTATTCATCGGTATCTTGAATACAAAAGAAGGAGTTTGAAAAATAACTCCTTGACTAGTGCTGAGATCTGTATGATATTACAGTCTGGGAAAAATCTAGAAGTCTAGAACCTTCTGTTAGGAAAAGGAGGATCCCATACCTCCCTGTTTCTAGTGCTCCTAGAAGTAGTGGAAAGGGGCGCGTGGGTGGCTCAGTTGGTTGAGTGTCTGACTGTTGATTTTGGCTCAGGTCATGATCTCAGGGTCGTGAGATCAAGCCCTGTGTTGGGCTCCGCACTCAGCAGGGAATCTGCTTGAGACTCTCCCCCTCTCCCTCTGATCCTCCCCCCTCAAATAAATCCTCGGTGAAAATAAAAAAACTAGTGGAAAGAATTCCTGTCCTCATGAGGCGGGTCTGAAAACTTCTTTGTGGGGCTGGCCCCTTTAAGGCTCAGAGAATGAAGTAATCTGGTAGCTAAGGAGTCATAATGACAACTTTCTTGGGTAATTCTCCCTGGAAATGTATTCTTACTCTCCAGGACCAGAAGTACTGAGGAGTAGTGCCACCTTCTCCTCACTTTGGTTGGTGAGAGATATATGTACACGGGCTTATGTATCTCTGGCTTCATTTTCTAAAATCCAAATGTCCTTGCCCTAGGCAGGGGACCATGTTAGTTATTTTGGGCTCTTTCCTATCCTTTGAGGAACACAGAGTTTAGTGAAAAGAATTCCTCTGAAGTGTGGTGTACATGGCCAGTCCTATTTCTAAGGCCTAGGAGGGAGTGGAAGGGAGAAGGTCCTGGCTCATGAGCATCTGCGAAACCCACTGCTAATGTAAATGCATCTCTTGAAAAAAGTGCATGTAGCCTATGTGGAGGAGCGTTACTTTGGATTTTTGTTCAGGTTTTTTGTGAATCCAGGTATTCCTGATCCGTGGGCAGTCAGTGCATAGGAATCCTCCAGGACTCACACTGCAAGTATAGAATATGGGAGGAGAGAGGTGCTGAAGCCCACCATCACAACCGCCTGTGACTTGGGCACACATTCCCTGTCTTCCAAGACAGGGAGCCAAACTGATTGGCATCTGTCACTGCAGGAGATGGTGGCTTGGAAATGGACATGCTAGGGGACCTTGAATCCCTGCAGTTTGAGTATGGGATTCAAGAGGAAGATCGCAGCTGGCTGTATTTGCAGGGCCGTTCTCGAGGGCTGATGATCAAGGCCTGTGCCCATGCAACCTTCTTCTGCAGGCTACTCTGTAATTTGAGGTAAGCTAGGTCTCCAAGGTAGGCCAGATGGAGAAGAATCTCACTGTGGAGTATCCAAATGACTTAAACTTTTTATATTGGAGGATACCTTTGGCAGGGGGAGTGTCTTCCTACCTTTTCCAACCCACAGTCAGTCACTGTGGTCTGAAGGCACT